GAGGGCCTGTGCTGGATCACTGTGTCCATGTGCGAATATTTCTTTTATACAATACTTTTTATTGGATGAGAGGTTTGGACACTAGAATATTGATGTATATTTCCATACACTATTTTAGATACTCTGTGTGTCGTGTTTATATATGAGCAATATGGTATGACTGTGACCAAGAGAGTTGTGGTATATTGAGTTCCTCAAGAAGGATTTCCCTCATAAAGGTGATATAGGTCAAGGTGTGGGTTCATACGAGATCAAGGAGACTGTCATGGATCCAACAATGAAAAGTGAAGTGGTTCCTCTAGCAACTGGTGATAGTGAGAGCGAGATACTTTTAGCTGATTTAGAGCCATCTAAAGAATCTCAACAACCTTCGAGATCATTCCATGGACTAGTATAATATGATATTTTGAGATCAATGGGGAAAATGTTCATGAAAGAAAAACATGTTGTTGTAGAGCGTAATCATGTGAGAATACTATTTCTGGGTCTGCAGCTAAAGAGTGGAGCAACAATAAATAGGGAGCTTGAGTTTATGAGAAAGAATCAAGTCTGATACTTGATAAATCTTCTAACTAAATGCAAGATCACTAAAAACAAAATAAGTTTTCAAGGTCAAGCAGGATGTGACGTTCAAGCGATGCAGGGCACACATTATGGTGAAAGAGTACACCCAAATAGTAGGGTAGAGTACCAAAATAGATGTTTTCTCTAGTGGTGAGGATCAGCTCTATTCACATGATATCTACTCCTATAGTGCAAATAGATCTTGAACTAGTTTAGATGGACATTGAGATAGCTTTTATGTATGGAGAACTAGAAAAAGTGATCTATGTGGATCAACTAATGTTTCATAGCCAAGGGACTAGAGCATAAGGTGTACAAGTTAATGGATCTTCCTATTGCTTAAAATATCTTTCCAATGTGTAGTATTTTCAATCATATTGGACTGTGCTGGATCATAGTTTCTAGATGATCGATCAGGTAGTTAGCTTCACCTACACTAAGCTAATAGAAGTTTAAGAGCAACCGTAATATACTAATGGCATATTGCTGACTAGGTGTAGCATGGAGACCACTAGGACTCTAATTGCTAAGAGTCGAACTCTGAGTATAGAGCAATATCCCTACATGAAAGTAAAGAATAAGCTAATGCTAAGAATCTCATCAATGAGTATAGCCGATAGTCTTGTATGCTTACAATAATCAACACATCTTTTGCAGTAGGACGGATGAGTAGGCATCTGTCCAATTTTAATATGATTCACTAGGATGAGTCAAAAGGATCCTCAGATATTTAATTTAGGCTGCACTTTATGCATCATTCTATAACAGAACAGACTCTCGCTTATAGAAATATTTAGATGTTGGCTGGGCCGATAATTTTTAATGGCGAGTGTCATTTTCTAGTTATGTTCTCTTACTAGATGAGTGGGTCATTTCTTGGAATAATAAGAAACAGTAGTGTATAACTGTTTTCCACTTAGAGCGAAATATGTGATAATATAACTACAGAAGCAGCCTAGTAGCGCGATATGTAGATGTTGATGTATTCACTATCATGATTACATGTCAACAATTAGTTATTTGATAGACCTAAATTAGTTTGGGAAATCAATAAAATCTAGATTGGGTATCACTTTATTAAGAACTAAAGATAAGTAGGAGGTAGTGGTAAGTGAATTCGTACAAGTCAGTTGATCGTCGATCTACTAATAAAAAGAATAGCTGAAGAGCGGCTAATGCATCACATTTGAGCCTCATAGGCTACGTCTTTAATGACGATTTCCTTTTTACTTGAGACCTCAGACGCTTAGATTATTATGAATGATGGATTTACAAGACATTATATTTAATTTGATTGTCATTTTCTCATCTATATGCATATCTAGGCTTGCTGATATCTTATTATTGCTTGATCATTTTGGCATGGAGTACATTTATATATGATGTGTACATGGTACACAAAAGGGCATTGGGTGCACAATTAGAAAGTTACATCAGCATTTAGGAGCTCTTATCACACAAGAGATCCCCTTAAGAGCTGTGGCAATTGCCAAACCCGAGACCAGGTGTCAGATGTCATTCAGCTTGGAACAGTGACTACATTATCGTATTACTAGCAATAATGAGAGCACTCTATTGATCCCCCCAATTGGATCAGGATGAGGTTGATGTATACTTATACATTAAAATGATCAAGGTGGAAACCCAACATCCACTTTATCTGTTTACTATCAGCCAGACTGCAAGTCTGACTTGGCACAAGAGGTCCAGGCTTATAGCGAGATCCCAGGCATATTGTGGGATGGTACAGCTAGATAAGTTCATTATAGGGTAATGGAACTTTGGTTTGGACAATATTCATTTAATTATGTATGCTCTCAGGGAGAAATAAGTAATAACATAGCATGGTACCATACTACGTGTGTGTTTGGACTAGATATAAGGAGGTCAAGGGATGGATCCCTACTCCCTCACTGTATGAGCCCTTATAGGCAACCACCAGCGATGGAGGGCAATCATTATACCCTCAGAAATATTAGGCTATCTGGGACAGCTGTTAAGCGTCTGCTACATTGGCTGTTATTTCCTTCTGCGATGAGACAATACCACATATAGGGGGTAGCATCAAGAAAGCAGGTGATTAACATGCTCAAATATTCAGGGCCAGAGGAAGATCAATTGACATGTCTCATGATTTCATTGTAGTGCCAACTCTTACTTATGCCGATGGTAGTATGTAAGAGTGTGATAAATCGAGGGTAGACCCGGGTGTTCATGTACTCTTCTTTGAGGAATCAAAGGTGCTTGAGCAGACATGGTTGATCAGATCTAGGAAATGAGATGTTGTATACTTATACTTTTCGTTTGTGTATTTTTGCTCTTTGGGAGATCCTTGTGTCGGTCCTAATGGATCTGGCTGTAAGGCTACCTGCATGCATATTCTCAACTATCCACACCACACTAACAATGCATGGACATGAATTTAATAAGGAAGGAGAATCTCATGTATATTTTTGATGTGGGAAGTCAATGGCTCATGAAGTTATAGACGACATCCACTCATTTGCGCGAGTGAGAGTATGCTAGCACATATGGGGGCCCAGCCCAAATTGAGTGGGTAGGTCGCGAGACGAGATCTTGCTCTATTAGAACCGGGTTTCTAAACTCAACAACATTAGGGTTTATGAGTATCTCTTTCGTATAATTACATATGCAGAGATACACTAATATATTTGACATAAAAATATACCACGGTTGTCATCTTCTTCCTCTCTATCAACTCTACGTATATGCGTTAGTCGCAAGGTGATAAGCGGGGGGGGGGCTTCTCCCCATTCCAACGGTGTGGTCGCCCTCCGTCCATTGTTAGAAGATGTAGAACAAGTGCTTGTCAATCCCTCCGCAGATCCGGGATACATAATCTCTAAACAAGAGATTTATGCATTCAATATAGTTATGTGTGGTTTACACATTAAAATAGCTAAAATTACATTGCAAGGTAACATAAAGAAAAGTTAGCAGCTTTTAGAAGTCGCCATCATTTTCTGGAAATAACTCTTTGTCTATACAACAATTGTATACAACCATAAGAAATCACGATAAGTTGACACATACCAGAAACAAAACACGTATAATATTAAAATAGCATCAACTAGCTTAGGCGAGGAAACAAAATACCAAAATGAAACACCCCAACAAGCTGTACTATAACCTCCAAACTCAGCAGGTCAAGGATTCGGATCCTCTCCACTACAAAAAAACAGTGGAGAGACCACTTCATAATCACAGTCATTGATTATCTAGTTGATGGTTATGATTTTTTCTTTTAGTGCAAATTAGGAATGAGTGCAATACACGGGGGTATGGTAAGTGTTAGATTTATATTGTATCATAACCGCCTACTAAATAATCAACGCTTGAGATTAAAAGTAGTGGTATCTCCACTACTTTTTTGTAGTGGAGAGGATCCAAATCCGCAGGTCAACGTCAAGTAGAAAATTTCCACAAAAGCATCTCCTGAAATTTAGGCCATCTAAACTTTCTAGTTCTGTAAGAACCTTTGGAAAGACCTTCGTACAGCCTCGTAAGATTGTTGGATGAGCTCATTTCGGTCACCAACTGGCACAGAATCATGAAACTTCAGCATAACAAGATCCTTTTGTTGGACTATACACAAGATATTCTAATAAGAGTCAATTATTGTATAGACAATTTTAATGACATCCTTTAATAATTCCTCAAGCCTATTTAAAAGATCAGATACAGAAAACAATCATTCTTTGGTTGGATACTCTCGGCACTTGAGCGGATATATTCTCTCCTACACTTTTTTTGTTCTTACCAAAAACAAAGAGAGTTCAATACAACTATACCCCTTCCTCTTATCAAAAGTCTTCTTTATGAGTGCATCGAGATTGGTTGATATGGATGCATCATCTCCTTCATCTTCATCTCTACTTGGGTTATTTCGGTTTGCGGATTGGAAAGATAAGCTGCTTGTGATTCTGGGGACGATAGGAAGCATAGTGGATGGCCTGATGCAGCCCATAATCACAGTCATTGATTATCTAGTTGATGGTTATGATTTTTTTCTTTTAGTGCAAATTAGGAATGAGTGCAATACACGGGGGTATGGTAAGTGTTAGATTTATATTGTATCATAACCGCCTACTAAATAATCAACGCTTGAGATTAAAAGTAGTGGTATCTCCACTACTTTTTTGTAGTGGAGAGGATCCAAATCCGCAGGTCAACGTCAAGTAGAAAATTTCCACAAAAGCATCTCCTGAAATTTAGGCCATCTAAACTTTCTAGTTCTGTAAGAACCTTTGGAAAGACCTTCGTACAGCCTCGTAAGATTGTTGGATGAGCTCATTTCGGTCACCAACTGGCACAGAATCATGAAACTTCAGCATAACAAGATCCTTTTGTTGGACTATACACAAGATATTCTAATAAGAGTCAATTATTGTATAGACAATTTTAATGACATCCTTTAATAATTCCTCAAGCCTATTTAAAAGATCAGATACAGAAAACAATCATTCTTTGGTTGGATACTCTCGGCACTTGAGCGGATATATTCTCTCCTACACTTTTTTTGTTCTTACCAAAAACAAAGAGAGTTCAATACAACTATACCCCTTCCTCTTATCAAAAGTCTTCTTTATGAGTGCATCGAGATTGGTTGATATGGATGCATCATCTCCTTCATCTTCATCTCTACTTGGGTTATTTCGGTTTGCGGATTGGAAAGATAAGCTGCTTGTGATTCTGGGGACGATAGGAAGCATAGTGGATGGCCTGATGCAGCCTCTGACAATGCTGGTTCTTGCTAGGACTATCAATGAGTATGGGGCTGATGGAACCTCTCTTTCGATTGGCTCTCCAGACAAGGTTCGTTTTTTTCGGTACTTCTTGATTTGGTGGTTTAGTTATTTGATCTGAAAGATTGAAGAGGATATATGTTGTTGCCGCAGTTTGCTGTCCAGTTACTGTATGTGGCCCTGGGAGTTGGAACAGCTGCATTTCTCGGTAAGCAATTTTTAGTGAAAGCAACAAGATGAGAATTAGAAATATGATCCTTCTGAAGGTGAATGCATATTAGGAGGTAAATTATCCCCCTGAAATTTGGAGACCCCCCACGCCACCGCACCCAAAAAAAAACTGATAAAATAGCCCCCAACTTCCAAATTTGACTAAACCGTCTAAACTAATGAAAAGAAGCTCATAAACAGTCTGACAGATTGAACAATATATGACAAATCATGTGGCAAACAATATACAACAACCAGATCATATTTGGGAAGTAATATTCTCTGATTTATAAAGTTCAGAAGGGTTTTGTGCAAACCTCTGAAAGATCAATGTACTGATGGATTCCGGTATTAATTGTCAGCTTGTGCTACTGATACTGATAATTCTTGGGGGCATAAAACAGAATCAAAATGAGTTTCAGTATGACTTGTGCTACTGATACTGATAATTCTTGGGGGCATAAAACAGAATCAAAATGAGTTTCAGTATGAACTTCTGAACACTCCATGGAGCATTATAGATGCTACTATACCAGGATGACTATCCACAAAAGTAACTTATGTGTGTTCTTTCAGAGAATTGTAAAGGAAAAACAGCACAAATGTTAGATCATTGCAAGTTCACATAAACTCATATGAAAATGATAGCAGTTTCTTACCGTGAAATGTCACAATAGAACTTTAATATACAATACTTTAACTATTTTTGACAACAATAGCAAAATTTTGTGCTTACAGATAAAGGTAAATCTGAAGAAATAGACTTCACCTGGGCAAATGCTAATGATTTATAAGAAGATGCAAATATATGATTATTCTTTTTTACTTCTCATTTAAATCATAGTCAAGGGAACCCTGCAGTAACCATTGTCCCAATTTGACTTGCGTAATTCATGGATGCAGAAGGACTGTGTTGGACAAGAACTGCTGAAAGGCAGGCGTCTCGGATGAGGTTGAGGTATCTCGAGGCTGTCCTACAACAAGATGTTAGCTTCTTTGACAGCAATTCATCCACAACTGCTACATATCAGGTCATCTCCACTATCTCAACTGATACTGATACAATTCAGGATGCCCTTGCTGAAAAGGTCCTCCCCTTTCCCTCTTCCTGTCTCGCCATTTATTTCTTAGGGTAAATTCCAGCTTCATTTATACCATATATTCAATTTCACTTCCTGTCTCACTATTCATTTATACCATGTATTTCAAGAAAACCATCATCCAAAAGATTCGAAGGAAACCACCTCAGCTATGATCGTTAGTGACACAGAGCTTGATTTGTCAGACGTCTGAACAAACATCTGCATGCAAGATCAATGTTAAAAAGGCTAACTTCTACTTTATCCAAGAACAAACTTTTTCTCATTTTCTTTTTTTAAACCCCCAAGCTTTCTAAAATTTTTGGTGTAGACAACTGTCCCAGACACATACTCAAGTGCAAATATCTGAACAGAAGAAGTTTGGAGAACAAAACTCTATTCCAAAATCAACAGTTTCATTAACGGTCATAGATTGGTGTTTTTCTTTTCTTTTCTTCTTAAGGGGGTTCCTTATAATTTACCCTACTTCTTACATGGGTACCTCAACTTATACATCTACCTCCCTATTACGTTGCAGATTCCAAACATCCTAGCTAACATATCAGCATTTTTCTTCACCCTCTTGGTTGCCTTCACAAATTCATGGAGATTAACATTGGCTGCTCTTCCATTATCGCTTCTCTTTATCGTACCCGGTGTTGTGTATGGGAAACTTCTGATGAAGGTATCTGAAGACATAAGAGAAGCATATGGGATTGCTGGAGGAATTGCTGACCAGGCAGTTTCATCGATTAGGACAGTGGTGGCATATGTTGGAGAGAGGCAGACAATGGAAAGTTTCAGCCAAGCGCTTGAGAAAACTACAGCTCTTGGGATAAAGCAAGGCCTCATGAAGGGGATATTAGTTGGAACTATGGGAATGATATACGCTATATGGGCTTTTCAGACATGGTATGGGAGTGTATTGGTGACTGAGAAGGGAGCCCAAGGTGGCAGCATCATTGTTGCTGGAATCTGTGTCATCTTGGGAGGACTGTAAGTACGCCTAATCTTTGTCACGGTAACACCCATTTTTGTATCACTATTTCCAGGTCTAGTTATCTGTTGAAGTTTGAAAATGGTAAAAAGAAATTTGTTCATTAGACAACTAAGAACTAACATAGCACTAATATGTCTATGTATTCAGAAAACTTGACATGTTTAACAAAAGGGTCTTATGCATATATACCCCTCAAATATTCCATATTTGCAAAATAACCCCCCGCCCCCGCCCCGCCAAAAGAAAATAAAAACAAAATCTTGGTATTTGCAAAACTATCCCCCAATTTCTGAAATTGAGATTGAGTTTTTCTACCCATCCCACTTAACGATTTTAGTTTTTAAATGGCAAAATATTGCAAAGCTATTGGAAAATTTAAACATTGCCCTATTTAGAAACCAGCATTGCTAAATTGGAGGGGTAGAAAAACCTAATGAGAGAGAATTGGATTTAGTTTTGTAAATATCAAGATTTGGGGGGTTAAATATGCAAATATAGAAGATTTGAGGGGTATATATGCAAAAACACCTTAACAAAATAATGTCCATGACATGCATATTAAATTGTCATGTTTACATGATAGTCTTATGAAGTGGCGAACTATTTGCGCTTTAATAGTGATACAAAAAGGTTAATAACAATTATGGCAATAATGCCTATCCCATTTCCATTTATGCTTATGCCTATTGAGTATCAGTAATTTATAGGACAACAGGAAAACTAAATGCTAGGAAAGATAACAAAAGATATCATACTAACGAAGCGCGACGAAGTCATAGATACTTCCATCCTTTGGTATTTCATGGAAATCTACCAAGAGCTCCACAACAGTAAATACTTCCTGTGCCCACACAAAAATAGGACCAAGCAACAATCCTTTTTTTTGTGTAATACTTGTCACCTTTACTCAAATACGAAACTGAACTTTATTCTCAGAATCCTCTTTTGCCTTCAGATAAAGGAGCATAGTTCACAATCTTAACTATAGCCTGAGGCTACATATGATGACAATGTGAAAGGCACATTTGAATGCAGACCGAACAGAAAGAGCAGAAAATGGATCTATTTCTAAAAAGCAATCAGAATTCATTATGGCTGGACAGAACAATACTAAATGCTCCACAATTTTCTTCCGAAAACCATTCTTACATACAACCTCCAGCTCCACCATATATTCAATTTCTGAACTACTACTCTCTTACGACAAAGAGAGTGAAAATTGCAAGGACATTGCCCCGTTTCTTTCCACATAGATTTACAACTTTTACTATATTTGGTACCGAGATGTCATCTTGCTTGCAACTTCCATGAGATTATTTTAAACTGTGCTAATGTTTCAGGTCTCTTATGAGCGCACTTCCAAATGTCAGATACCTGTCAGAGGCAATAACGGCTACTTCTTGCATACATAAGATGACCGATAGGCTCCCTTCACTAAAATCCAACAATCAAGAAGGGGAAACTATAGAAAGCCCACAAGGCGAGATTGAATTTAGAAACATTGAATTCAGCTATCCATCGAGACCTCATAACCCTGTTCTTCGTGGCCTAAATCTTTACATTGCAGCAGAGCAGACCATTGGCCTAGTTGGTAGCAGTGGCTCAGGTAAGTCCACAGTCATCTCCTTGCTCCAGAGGTTCTACAATCCTGACAAGGGAACAATTGCCTTTGATGGCTGTGATATTAGAACACTGAGTATCGAATGGTTCAGATCTCAGATGGGCTTGGTTAGCCAAGAGCCAGTCCTCTTTGCAACTTCCATCAAGGAAAACATACTATTTGGGAATGAGAATGCATCTACGGATCTCATTATTAGTGCTGCAAAAGCAGCTAATGCACATAATTTCATTACCAAGCTACCCGATGGATACGATACTTATGTAAGCTATCTAATCTTACACTTTAACAGTCTAATTATACTGTCACCCAACTGCCGATAGACCCCCTTTAGTTTTATTGTTGTAGATAGACTTCTTGAGTGAAATTTTTTCAATTATTTTACCCTCAGAGAAAGAGGAGATTTGTCTTTTGACAAATAGAACCCCTGAGGGTAAGAGAGTCAAATAAAAGCTTCCATTCAGAATGCTATATGCAAGAATAGAACTATGGTAGGTCAATCGGCAATTGGGTGATGGTACAGGAGTAAGGCGGTCTACCAGCAATTAAACCTGATATACTAATTAGTAAGTCAGTGGGTAATCTGATGATCAGTTATTTTCAATAGGTTGGGCATTTCGGGTTTCAGATGTCTGGAGGGCAAAAACAAAGGATAGCCATTGCAAGGGCATTGATCAGAAATCCCAAGATACTGCTTCTGGATGAAGCTACAAGTGCCTTAGATGCACAATCTGAGAAACTAGTAAAAGATGCACTTGACCATGCTTCAGTTGGGAGAACCACGGTAATAGTAGCACATCGGCTTGCGACATTAAGAAGAGCAGACCTCATTGCTGTCCTCAACAAGGGGGAAGTTGTGGAGCTCGGGAGCCATGACCAGCTTACTTATATGAGTGGAGAAGGTGGAGTCTATTCTAAAATGGCTCAGCTACAAGAATATACTATAAGTAGAGAAAGTCCATTAATGTCTCCGATTGGAAACAATGTGGTAAATTCAATACACTCAAGAAACTATAGCAACGCAGAACTATCGCCCGTCCACATATATTCAGAAAATAATACCACGAAAGCAAATAGAAAGACCTCTAATCCTTCGCAGTGGCGTCTGATGAAGATGAATGAACGAGACTGGAGAAGAGGTTTGATAGGGTGCATTGGTGCAGCTACAATCGGAGTAGTTCAAAATGCATATTCCTATAGCTTGGGTTCCATAGTATCAGTCTACTTCCTCCAAGACAATGACCTTATCAAGTCAAACACAAAACGGTACAGCGTCATTTTCATATCCTTAGCATTTATCAATGTCATTTCCAATATCATCAACCACTACAATTTTGCCGTCATGGGAGAGCGGTTGACAAGGAGGGTAAGGAAGAAGATGCTAAAAAAGGTTCTTTCCTTCGAGATTGGTTGGTTTGATGAAGATGCAAATTCAAATGGAGCGATATGTTCAAAGTTAGCCACTGATGCAAACAAGGTCAGGTCGCTAGTTGGAGATCGTCTGTCATTGCTGCTTCAGGCTTCTGTGACAGCTGCACTAGCTTTCACGCTGTCATTGATCATTGCGTGGAGGCTCGCAGTTGTGATGATCGCTGCTCAGCCTTTAATTATAGGAAGTTTCTATTTCAGGAAGGTTATGATGGCTAGCATGTCCAAGAAGGCCAAGAAGATGCAAATTGAAGGGAGTCAATTGGCATGCGAAGCTGTGGTGAACCAAAGGACTATTACAGCATTCTCGTCACAAAAAAGAATGCTGGGTCTTTTCGAGATTGCACTCCAAGGGCCAAGAAGCGAAAACATTAAGCAGTCTTGGATCGCGGGCCTCTGCCTGTTCAGCTGCCAGTTCATTATCACAGCTGGTACAGCACTGGCATTCTGGTACGGAGGAAAGCTTATGTCCGAAGGCTATATAACTTCTAAAGAAATGTTTCGGACATTTTTTGTCCTGATGAGCACCGGAAAGCTTATAGCAGATGCAGGAAGCATGACTTCTGATCTAGCAAAGGGTGGAGATGCAGTCCGATCGGTTCTTGAAATTCTTGACAGGAACACTGAAGTAGAGCCAGATGATCCTAAAGGAATCAAGAAGAAGAGGCAGATCAAGGGAAACATAGAACTAATGAACGTATCATTCTGCTACCCTTCAAGACCAGAGCAAATTATCTTCAAAGGATTGAGCCTCAAGATGGATGCAGGAAAGACCATAGCGCTGGTTGGCGAGAGCGGCTCAGGAAAATCAACCATAATCAGTTTGATCGAGAGATTCTACGATCCTCAGGAGGGTTCAGTAGAAATTGATGGAAAGAACATCAAAGATTACAATTTAAGATTTCTAAGGTCACATATCGCACTAGTCAGTCAGGAGCCTACTCTTTTTGCAGGTACTATACGTGACAACATTGCATACGGAAGTGAGAATGCAACTTCCACAGAAGTACTTGAGGCCGCAGCACTTGCCAATGCTCATGAATTCATATGGTTGTCTTCAACTAATAAACACTACATTTTATAATTTTATTTCATCTTCTAATAGTGGTGCCTGAAACCTGACAGTTCAATGGAGGATGGATATGAAACCTACTGTGGAGAACGAGGGGTCCAGCTATCTGGAGGACAGAAACAAAGGATTGCCCTTGCTCGAGCAATACTAAAGAACCCTGTTATATTGCTCTTGGATGAGGCAACCAGCGCACTTGATAGCGTATCAGAGAACCTAGTTCAAGAAGCTCTGAACAAGATGATGGTAAATAGGACGTGTGTAGTTGTGGCTCATCATCTGTCTACAATAGAAAAGGCGGATATGATAGCATTGATAAGCAACGGGAGGATTGTAGAGCAGGGATCACATTCAGAGCTAGTTGCTAAAGGAAGAGGTGGCTCATACTACAATCTGATCAGACTACAAGGAGGATACTCACCCTATTCGCAATGAATCCAATCTGAATGAAACACTTAGGTTATGTTATAGCACAGTAGCACAATGAGATTACAAGTAGTAGTTGGAAAATTTGATATGTAGCACAATGAGATTACAAGTAGTAGTTGGAAAATTTGATATGTAGCATATCCAAAGAAACAGAATATAAAGCATCGTCAAGCTTGCGAGTTTTGCAAAGCTAATCATACACAAAGGAGTTAGTAGATGAAAAGCCTATATAAAGCTGTTTATCACAGTAAAAACATTAAAATCAAAAGGTGAGATAATACCAAAAAAGGTAATTTGGAAGTTATAATAACAAATTCCCGCAATGTGCAAATGGTAAGAAAACTGAGGAGCCACTTTTAATGTAGCAAAGCACTCACTGTTGCAGGACTCAGATGAACAAAGGAAAATATAAGCTAAGGAAAAAAAATTGGTACTAAACGAAGAAAAAAAATCTTGTTTACGGCAATAGATGAATATGTGTGGCTGTGTGTAGGACAGAAAAACAACTACACAACAGACCGCGATAACCATGATTCTAGGGCAATAACAACTTGCTGCAGAAATGATTCCAAAGAGAAGGAATGTTGTGCCTGACGGCGGCGCCGAGGAACCAAAACAAACGCCGATGAAAGAAGGCCAAAAACAACCAAATATCAATGCACAAACCAAACACCAATTTTAACGTGGTTCGGCAATTGCCTACGTCCACGGGGCAAGAAGGGGGAGGGTTTCCACTAATAGAGAAGGAGAGTACAAATCGAGATTACAAATCGCTCAAACAAACCAACTAATCTCACCAACAAATCTCTCAACCTCTCAACCAATAACCCTAACAAATAGCTCAGAAAGATCTCTCTTTTTGTGCTCCAAAATCCCCCAAAACGCTCCTACAAAACCCTCAAATCGTATTGGTATTTATACCAAAACAGAAACCCAAACAGACTGCAAATAGGAACCTGAACTTTCCAAAAAACCCGTCGTAAGTCGACTTATCAGTCTGCATAAGTCGACTTGGCAGAGCAAAAAACAACAATTGGAGAACAGATCGTAAGTCGACTTATCAGACCTGACAAGTCGACTTACCATAAGTCGACTTATGCCTGTGCATGAGTCGACTTATGACACAGAATCTGCAAAAAACTAAATTTTCCAAATTTCTCCACAATTCTCCACCTCGGCGAAGTTTTCCCAAAACTGAGCCGACACCAACCAAACAAATGCCTCACATAATGAGACCCAAACGGGAGTGCGAACACTCACCCCAAATGTCGATGTCGCTCACCAAATCGGCTGCATCAAAATGACTGCCTACGTATCCTTTGCCCAAGGAATCAAGCCTTCACGTAGTTCACCCAAACGGCCTCCAAAGGCCCTCAATCAAATAGAAAAGTCTGCAACTCTTCTCCAATATCACCAAACGATCTGCAACTGATAGTATTCCCAATGACCCCAAATTGAGACAAATCAAACACCTCCACCTGAGGTAAACCAATGGCCATATCCAAACTATATCTACCAGCTGCAACTGAATCCAAAACCAATCCATCATCTGCATCCAAAACCAAATGATCTCCAACCTGTGTCACCTTAGCTGGAATCCCAAATGACGCAGTATGATCTGGAGTATGTGGAGTAATCTCCACCCAACGTGGAGTAGCATCACTCTCCACCTGCTGCGATATCCAAATGACCTGATCAACACTCTCCACCTGCCGAGAGTCAAAAGTGACATACCTGCTCAGAACAAAATCAGAAGCTCCCAAACGATAATCAACTGAGCCTCCGAACCCCAAACGCGCAATCGGATCAAATCTCACATCCTCAATGTGACCAAATGCTGGGTATCCAAATATCCGACGCAACCCAAAATCTGAAGCAGCTCCACCAGATCCAATAACTCCTAATGCAGCAGTCGGTGACCTGTGACTAAGATGACCCAAATATGTCGAAGCTCCAGAACCAATGCACGACAACCAACGCCGATCCTCCTCCAGAAAGGAACGACCCATCGAAACTGTCATCTCATCTCTTCGCCCCAAAGTCTCCACACTAATGAAGTGTCTTCTACTGCCGTGAGCTCGGCACAAACGCAAGAAAGGACCCCTATCAAAGCTGAAACAACGAGTTACCTTTCTGCCAATACACTTCTTCCAACTGTTGTTGACTTCCAGGACTTTACACCAACGAGAACTGGTCGCGACCCAATAATGCCTAGAACAATCATCAACTGCGGAAACCAAGATACAATTACCTCCCAATGATGCCTCCTTGGAAGGCCTCCAAATGCCTGACTGAACACCTCCTAAAAGACCCCTCGCTCGATGGATAGGAATGCCAAACTCCACCACGGTCTTGCTCATCCCAATGTGCTCACAGGACTTCAATCTGCAGGTCATAGCACTCCTCAACAACCAATGCACGACATTACCAATCATATACCCCAGCACCAAACAATGCCACAGTCTAGCCGAATCTGATGAAGTCGTCATTTCCCTATCAATCACCGTTCTTCCGTGCAAATAATACAAATTTCTCCTTCTTACGCCCTTCATCACAATTATGGACCCAAATGTAACCTTCAAGCGTGCATCCGCCAAGGTCACCCTATAGCCCGCTGCCTCTAAAGCTCCAAGTGAAATGATGTTCTTCTTCAACTGAGGAACGAACCTCACTCCAACCAACTCCCGAATCACCCCGTCACTCATCCTGATCCGAACAGTACCAATACCACCAATAGAGCATTTGTGATCATTCCCCATGAGCACGAAATCCCCTCTTTCCAACTCCTGAAAGCTGGAGAACCAATCCCTCCTAGGGCAAATATGGTATGTAGCTCCCGAATCCAATATCCACTCTGTAGAGTAGGCAACACAAACTGACGACAGTGCAGATAACGAGTAGCCCGAAGAATCCGAATCTGAATCGTTGCCACTAGCCTTGACAACATTTGCCTCTGAAGCTTGAATAGCTTTTCCCTTATTCTTCCCGGCTCGATCAACTAACTTTGGGCAATCGGCTTTCCAATGTCCATCTTCTTTGCAAAAGGCACATTGATTCTTACGAACTCCAAGATGTGCCCCTCTAGACTGCGACCTCCCACTACGGTTTGGACCCTTTGCTCTTGCGACCAACGCCCCCGCTACCGGCTCAAACGAAGTCTCCTTATCCTTCTTTCGAAGCTGATAATTCACAAGTGCAGCGGTGACCTCACTATACGAAAGAGATGCCTTCCCATTAATAAGAGTAAGAACGAAGGTCTCATATTCCTCGTCAGGCAAGGAACTCAATAGCAACAACGCCTTGTCCTCATCTTCAATCTTAACATCCACATTCGCCAAATCCGCAAGAAGCTTCGTGTAGTGGTTCATGTGATCACCAATGGAGGTTCCTTTCTTCAACTGGAAGCGGTAAAGCCTCCTCTTCAAATGCAAGCGATTCTCCACACTCTTGGTCAAATACTTGCTCTCAAGGATCTCCCAAATCTTCTTTGCAGAAGTCTCATTGATCACATCATACTTTAGATCTTGAGTGAGACAAGACCTAATCACACCACACGCCGTTCGATTCATCTTTTTCCAAACCTTCTCAACTCCTTCTTTCTCGGCCATAATCCTCAAAGCACCACCAAACCAATGCGAAAACAAACGAGAAATAGATCCAAACTGAAAAAGACGAGATTTTTTACCAAAAAAGATCCCACCTTTATCACCAAACGAAGCCCTAGACGAACTTCCAAAGCGATCTACTCCTCCAAATAGCCCAAACGTAGCCCGAGCTCTGATACCACTTGTTGTGCCTGACGGCGGCGCCGAGGAACCAAAACAAACGCCGATGAAAGAAGGCCAAAAACAACCAAATATCAATGCACAAACCAAACACCAATTTTAACGTGGTTCGGCAATTACCTACGTCCACGGGGCAAGAAGGGGGAGGGTTTCCACTAATAGAGAAGGAGAGTACAAATTAAGATTACAAATCGCTCAAACAAACCAACTAATCTCCCCAACAAATCTCTCAACCTCTCAACCAATAACCCTAACAAATAGCTCAGAAAGATCTCTCTTTTTGTGCTCCAAAATCCCCCAAAACGCTCCTACAAAACCCTCAAATCGTATTGGTATTTATACCAAAACAGAAACCGGCAAGAAGGGGGAGGGTTTCCACTAATAGAGAAGGAGAGTACAAATTAAGATTACAAATCGCTCAAACAAACCAACTAATCTCCCCAACAAATCTCTCAACCTCTCAACCAATAACCCTAACAAATAGCTCAGAAAGATCTCTCTTTTTGTGCTCCAAAATCCCCCAAAACGCTCCTACAAAACCCTCAAATCGTATTGGTATTTATACCAAAACAGAAACCCAAACAGACTGCAAATAGGAACCTGAACTTTCCAAAAAACCCGTCGTAAGTCGACTTATCAGTCTGCATAAGTCGACTTGGCAGAGCGAAAAACAACAACTGGAGAACAGATCGTAAGTCGACTTATCAGACCTGACAAGTCGACTTACCATAAGTCGACTTATGCCTGTGCATGAGTCGACTTATGACACAGAATCTGCAAAAAACTGAATTTTCCAAATTTCTCCACAAGGAAAACTTTACAGCAATTCAGCTTATGAATTGTCTGAACAAGCACAGATGCACTGGAAATACATGAAATAAACAGAAGAGATTCCTTGAGTTGCGAGGCTGGAAACAGCTTTATAGCTCTTAAACTAATAAATATAAAAAGATAACCAAAACAACTTGCAAAATCAGTATAACCGCAAGCAGCGAACATGGATCTTCTTTTTTGAAAAAGCAGAAAAACCTTAAAGTCTAGGTTAATTCTGTACTAGTGATGTTAAAGTTATGAGCAAATAGTAGTGGTGTTACCATATTTTTGTTGACTCGACCTTTTGTTACAAAACAGTCCCAAACAACAACTTAATTGGAGAATATAAACATGAGCACCTTACTAAACCAAACATTTATATGTTTCTTAAAAATCCTTAGGAAAATAGAATCCAAAAAAGGTACGGTTCTCTCCAGCAATTGTAGCATAAGTTGAAATTCTTTTTTACGTATTTACGTACTATCGACAATTGTAGCATAAGTTAAAAAAAATTTTACGTACTATCTACAACCAAACACCGAGGACCACTATTTAATGCACAAAAAAATATTTAAAAACAACCAAGCTCATTGATAAATTTACAACCAGTTGAAAGGTTTAACTTGCCCACAGTCTGAATGTCTGATTCCAGTGATCAACACCTTTTTGACTTTTATCAGGCTCGTGTATAAATTTTCATATGAATAACCGTGCCGTTACTTATCTTCCCATTCGGTGATTGCTTTCCTCCAGACAAGATCAAAGAGACTGATAGAGACATCGGCATTGGTTTTTCCAACAAAAATTGAGAGAATGGAACGCATTGTCGATAGCTTTCACGTACATAAGCGATCCTTCAGATGGAACAAATCTTGAAAAAAAAAAATGAATTGCAACAGAATCAAAATTTTGTATCCGTCAGATTCCTCTCATCACTCACTTGTCACTGGTTTGGAATAAAAACCAAAAGTTTGTTCCTTTTCTGTATTCTCTTCTAATCCAATCCCTTCCACATAAAATGATTTAAGTGTCGGGTTCAAATGTTTGAAGTTTCGGCTAATAAAAGTGCTGATCTGCAATCTCAGATTGGGGTTTGGACAACGCATCCCAAAATTGTGGTTAAAAAAACCAAGATCGTCAATATCTTGATGGATCGCAGCTAATGCTGATTGCTTCCTACATGCTTCCTGTTAGGTCCTTTCCCAAGATTCAAAATACTAGGATGTACTTTCATGGAATATATTGACTCTTTATTGTTTCAAAGTTTGAAACAATTCGACTTCTTAGGATTAATTAAAAACATTAGAAACTCATCTATGTGTACATGCTACTGACATACTTTAAGAACGTAATTAGTACAGAGGATGAGGACAAGGTACATGTTTATAACAAGGAAGGAGAAGTGAAGAACCGATAACTAGAGGTTCAGTCAACCATCAACCTACAATCCAGAGGGAAGCAGTCTGAAGATCCACTATAACCAAGAGATTACAAGCATTATAAGAGAGAATCAACTGATACTGAACCTTAGTAGTGCCTATAACCTCTCACCATATCTCTCAGGATCTCATTTCTTATGTTCCTCTCTCACTCCAAAGCATGATAGAAAACCAAAAAAACTCCACCCTTAAATTCCCATAAGAAACTATCTGAGCGCTTGCAGCCGAATACAAGACACGATCTCAACAGGAACAAAGTTGCGACACATGAACCTATGACCTTCAAATATGCGAAAAATTTTACATGTCCTATAGCAAACTATCCGATATGTTCTTCACAAGTTCTAACTAATAATCTTAACAATAAGAAGAATGTAGTGAATGAAAGCGTGTTATATAAATCCCAGATACCTAATAGGGGGTAAAGTCAAAGGATTTGGCGAGATTCTACTAATTTTCTCTCCATTAATGGTCGTGGCCACTCGGCTTTGATGTGAAGAAAGGGGAGGTTGGTGTCGCAATATTGAGGAAGAAGATCAAGCAGCATTAGTATAAGGATATTTTAGAGAAAGAGGCAGAAATTAAATGGGTTTTAACAGTTTTTAACGACAGGGATGGAAAAAATAATGTTAAGAAGCTTGCTAATGAAGTTGTCGGAGGGTTTCGTAATAATAACCCTGTTTTTATTGTTATCCATGGATAACTCTCCTCTAACAATTTCGACAACACAATTTATACTCGAATCCACGAGCGGGACAATTATCAAGTGCAAGAATTCAACTTCTCTTTCTCTTCTGCAGTCTTTAGCTACTAACGCAATTAGCAGCCCACAATTGTTTTTTGCATCAAGCACCTAAATTGTTTGTCAGAATGCCCAAAAGAAAATACCCTACGGTAAGTCCTCGAATTGCCCAAGTTAGCAATGACTAATAACAAACCTTCGCAAAGGAAAACTCAGCATCCCATAAAATGGGTCTCCAAGATAAGTACCTGAACGACCTAGGATCTTGAGAGCACGTCAATGGCGGTACTAAATGCGCATTCTTTGAGAAAATCCCGCTTCCAATGTTAAATACCTTTGCCTTCGATTTTCTGAAGAGATTCAAAGATTAAAAAGTTAAAGAAATTGAAAGAGGTGATCTGTACAGGTCTCAGAGCAGAGGATGAAGAGACACCGCAATAGCAAGTGATACGCAAGTCGATTTTGTAACTACTAGAGTAGCCAGGGGGTTATCTTTTCTTTTAGGCTGTGTTTGGTTTGAGGTAAAGTGAAAGAAAAGAAAATGAAATGGAAAAGGAAAATAAAGGAAAAGAAATAAGGTTTTTTATATGCTTGGTTAGGAAGAAACTTGTAGAAAGAAATTAGAAGGAAAATACATAAAAATAAGATAGAAAAAAACCATTAACTTACCCTTATATATAAAAATTATATTAAACCCCATGAACATTCAGTGTTTTGCAATAAACCCCTATGACCTTTGAAAATCACACCAATCTCCCATGAACTTTTTTGGAATTGCAGAAAACTCCCATAAACTTTTTCAGTTTTGTAGATAACTCCCATACATTAGAACCAAAATATTGCATAAATAGGCATTTTGAAAGTCCATGGGGTTTTAGTGTAATTTACCTAAAAGATCATGAGGGGTTTCTGGAAAAATTATTGGGCGTTTAGTGTGATTATGAAAAGTCATGGGGGTTTACTATAAAGCACTGAAAGTTTATGGGTGTTTTAGTGTAATGTACTATAATATATCCTATAAAGAGAGTTATGTACATGATTTTTTTTCATGTGTATAGTGTACTTAAACCTACATAAATGCCCTAGTTGGGCCACTGAATATAATGGTCTTAGCCGTGGTGGGGGCCACACTCAATCAATGGAGGATTTTTCTTCTCAACGCAGTGGGTAGTGGCATCGAGATAGCAGGAGTTGTCAGCACATGGGTAGTGGCATCGAGATAGTGGGAGTTGTGGTCGACCGGCCCCGACAAAATTTTCCCCAACTTTCACTAGCTAATTCAGAGGAAGAAATTGAGAACGAAAATTCATAGCCTTATTTTCTTCTTTGATTCTCATTTTCATTTTCTTGTTATCTTTCCATCAAACCAAACAATACAAATCTATTTTCTTTTTCTATTTCTTTTCGTTTCCATCGTTTTCAGTCAAACCAAACAAGAGCTTACTGACGGGTTGCTTTCCTTCATTTTCAAAATACCCACTTTCCTTTACTTATTGGTGTTTTCCTCACTCTTAGAAGAGCGTTTCTTATGTTTGTTTGGTCAAAAAACATGGGGCATGATTACTTTCCACCACTTTTATTAGTTTGGTTCAATTTGAAAAGACAAGAAAATAGTTGATTTGTGAATTGATTCCCTCATTTTTTAGTGTGGTTCAAACTAAAAAATAGAAAATACCATGGTTGTGATCACCATGATGTGCTTACCACCCAAATAAGATAAAAATATTTGCCAAATATAAGTGGGGTGAGAATACCCACCATTTGAGGGACTAATTCCAAAATATGACCACTTGAGGGAGGAATTTTAAAATGTTTAACGAATTGAGAGACTAATTTTAAATATAAGGTAGTAATATGCAAAATTTATAAAGATTTGAGGGACTAATTATGAACACTTAAGGGAGTAATTCCAAATCTTTAATTATTCGAGAGACTAATTTTAAGTTTGTATGAATCCATTTGAGTGACTAAATTCAAAATAAGAACATTTGTGGGAGAAAATTGAAAATGATTAAAATTTTGGGGGACTAGTTTTAAATTTAAGAGGCTAATTTGCAAAATGTTTAGAGAGGTTGATTGATTGACTAATATCAATATTTGAGAGGTTGAGTGACTTTTATGAAAATTATTTACCAAATTAGCAAACCAAGGTTAAATGAAGCAACGAAACACACCCTTAAGAGTTCACGGGACTGCTAGTTTTGTGAATTTTGCAGAAACATTATACAGGGGATTGGTGCATGTGTTGGATGTGCAAAAAAACGTGTATGCATAGTAAATGGGACTACTTGCCCTGTATATTTCCCAGAAACACAAAAAACACACAAGCTCATCTCCAAGCCCGTCTCCTGTGTATATAAGTTATCTCATGTGCATATAAAATATCTACTTCACCTCATGGACATATCCAATTATATAAATTTTATAAATAAATGACTTCATATACATCTCGGCAAAAAAATCAAAACACCACAACTAGCAATTGTATACACGTCATGGCAACACATATAATCTCCATAAACCAAGATATCACAATAAAACTAAATATATAATATTCTTTTGTTTACAGATTATCCATATTGATGATTTGAATAATGTCAATACAAATAATCCATACATCGAGAACATACAACCTAGAAATCATCTCAATATCCTTTGCCTCGCTCTGGTTACTTGGGAAGTTCGTCGTCATCTTTTAGGAAGTTGAGTTTGCATGAGCTTGCTCTCCGGTTGCATGTGTTTGGTTGTGACGAGCAACTAACATGTTGTGAAGGTCCATCTTCATCATCGTTCCTCCAAATCCTCCTTGTCTCCGTTGATTTGGTTGAACCATCATCTCTCGACCATCATGAATAGAAGGAAGTTTTCTCACATCAGCAAGTTATACAAAGTTTCAACAAACATTAGAAAAAAGAATAACTGCACACTTGTCGATTAGAAAGAACAAATCACTTCTGTTAAAAAACAAAAGAACAAATCACCTGGTACTTTCTTTATAAACAAAATAATTTTCCATCAAGCAGTCACTATGAAGATTCTCCTTTTTTTTTTTTGAAAGAGGAAACATGGTGAGATACCACGTTCATATATTAATATAAGCTAACAGATAACAAGTTCACACAGACTATGATTAGCCTGTTAGCGAAGTTTTACAATGGAGATAGGATACTCAACCCATATCCCTGATTCAAAAACCACAGACAGATTACAAATAAACACAATTCTAAAAGTGTATCTGCTGAGTTATCAGCTATTAAACTAACACAAGATGAGACCAACAAAAACTGCCCGATATCTTCCTCTGAGTTGTGGCTAAGAACAGGATGAAAAGAGCCTGATATCAATTTCGTGATGAGAAGTTGTCTCCAACACCATCCTCTGCATTAGCTTTGGCAATCTCCTTCATCCCCAGGTTGATGGCCGCCTTATGGAATTTGATAACAGCTCTACTATCTGCTATTCCTGTCCAGAATAAAATGTACCTTGCAACATTAGAGGCAATGTGTTCAGGATTTGCTTGAATGTCATTAAAAATGAGTTTATTGCGGCTATTCCAGATCCACCAGCAGAAGCACGGTAACATGACTTTCCAAATGATTTTGAGATCCTGACTGAACTGAGAGTTCCTTTTGAAAGAGATCAAATCCAAGTTTTGAGGCCAACCAGCAATAGATACTCGAGGGAGCAGAGTGGTCCATGCTATGGAGGTAAATGCGCAGTTGATGAACAGATGGTCATGAGATTCTATGGCCTGGTTACATAGAGGGTAGCTGGGATCACCATTCCAGCCTTTTTTAACCAGATTGTCTCTAGTATTTAATTTATACTTACTGGCAATCCAGAAAAAAACTTTGACCTTAAGAGGGATCGGTGATTTCCAGATGAAGTTATGAAGGTGGGATAAGATACCTCCTGAAATGGTGATAGCATAAAATGATTTGACTATAAAAACTCCCGAAGAATGGAAAGGCTACCGTAACTTGTCGTGGCTTGAGCTTCCTACTATACTGAATGATTTTCCAGATGGGATAGGAGAGCTAGGATTTCTGTTTTATCTTCCTGGGTGATTCCTCTTCTGAGAATGGGACGCCAATTCCAAGAATTATGATGCATGGATCCTTGAGAGTGGGTGGAACAGCTATGAGAGAAGGCTAGCTGGAATGCTCTTGGGATTAATAGGCTGCTAAGTGAGCTAGCACCTGCCCATTTATCGTGCCAAAATCTGCAAGTTTTACCTTCCCCTACATTCCATCTAGCTTGACTAAAGAAAGTCTGGTTGATAGAGTGTAAATCATGGATGAATTTAGAAGCTGAGCCTTTAGGGGGATAAACTATAGGGTTAGAATTGTCGTTTGAGTACAATGAGAAGATCACTTTACTAACAAAAGAATTATTGTCTAATATTTTTCCGAATCCATTTTGAGAGGAGAGCAACATTGAAGGAAGAACTGTCGATGACTCCTAGCCCTCCCTCTTTCTTGGCTTTGCAGATAATACCCCAATTGACAAGACACTTAGAACAAGATGATTGTTGGTATTCACTCCATAGAAAGTTTCTCCTTGTTCTATCAATTGCTTTGGTGACACAAACAGGTAATTTGAAGAAAGACATGTAGTAGAGGGGAAGAGAGGAGAGAGTTGAGCAAAGTGAGCCGCCCTCCAATGGATAAAGATTTGTTTTTCCATAGAGAAAGTTTTTTGGTGAAAGAATCCAAGAGGGGTTGCCGTTCTCTTCTAGAGAGGGATCCTTTCTTCAGGGAGAGACAAAGATAGTTGAATGGGAAGGAGCCAACTGAACAGTTGAGTGAAGTTGCCAATCGGGTACCTTTATGTGGAATTTTACCTAAGTAGAAGAGGCTGGTTTTAGAGTAATTGATATTAAGACCTGATATGTTGGCAAAGATGAAGAGAATGGTTTTGAGTGTAGTGATGTCAGAGAGAGAAGCCTTGCTGAAAATGATAGTATCGTCTGCAAACTATATCGATCTGATGGAATTGAGCTCACCTTTTAGTTTGAGATCAGAGAGGTCCCCTAAGGTTGCACTCTTCCTAATCATTTTTATTGAGAACATCCACTACCAACAAGAAGAGCATGGGTGAAAGAGAATCACGCTGCTTAAGACCTCTATGGCATTTGAAAATTTTGGAAGGGGATCCATTGACCAAAACTGCCGATTTAGATGAAGAAAGAATGTGATTGATCCAGAAACACCACTTAGAGCTGAAACCCCTAGCTTTGAGAAGGTTCAGAAGGAATTGCCAGTTTACACAATCGAATGCCTTAAAGAAGTCCACTTTAATAGTGCAAATCTCCTTCTTACCTGAAGAGCAGAAATTAACCATCTCATGGGCTAGGAGGATAGAGTCCAATGATGATTTTCCACTTTGGAATGTTGCTTGAGAGTTGTCTACAAGTAGCGGGAGGAGTTTATTTAGTCTATTGGCCAGAATTTTGGTGAAGATTTTGCATGAACTGTTTATGAGACTAATAGGTCTAAAATCTTTTGGATTGTTAGCTCC